GACTATAAATAAGTTTAGAAAATAAATATTCATTTAAGAAAAAAATATAAAATAAAAAAGAGAAAGAAACATGAATTGCCTGTTTTACGCATAATTTTAGCCACGGATTTGCCCGAAATGGATTTTCACATGGAAAAGTTATATAAATTAGCAAAGAAATCTTTTTAGCAAATAATTTTGGGGTAATTAGTAATTTTTGAATGTATTGGCCAACTCTATCAAGGTTTCACCGCATCAATAGAATTCACTGCATATTTGAACACATTAATCAGGAAAAAGCACTTTTAGAACATCTTTCAAACTTAGGTAAATATTTTTAAGAAAACATGAGCATTAGAAGACACAGTCAAGTACAAAAGCAATTAACTGACATTTTTAACGAAAAATAGATTATCAAATAAATTAGTTGAAAGAGAATCGAAATATAGCTGACAGAAACTTCCGAGAATTTTTTCTCGGAATGTTTACTTTCAGCTATACTATATATTATATATTTTAAGGGGAGCTAATGTAAAATAAATAAGAATTGTTTTTATTAATACAGGGTTAGCTGATAGTTGCGCACATGAAAGTTTGATGGTCAATAGAAATGTTAATTTAAGAATTTAAATAACAGTAAAGTGTCAGAGAGATTAATTAAAATATTGACTTTTATTTTTAAAATACAGACTTAAGATTGAATAGCATCCTTACTTTTCCTTAATTATTTAAACATAAAGCATAATCATTAAGGGGACATTACTTATTTAAACCATAAACATAATCATTAGCTTCTTCTCGGACTTAGGGGTCGGGGAGGCTAGATGTTTTACAGATGTAACTTTTCAGGTGATATCTTCGAATTCAGATTTTTTAATGATAAATTGATTTTAAAAACTCTGAGTTCCTACAATGTAAATTTACAACCACTATTATAAATTTATCACCCGTGGCAACTTTGTAAAATAACTGTTGTCTATTGAAAACTTTTATATAAAACTAATTTAATAAAATATACCACGTGCTATATGCAAATGGGCAATATCACATTATGGATCACAATTTATATCATATTTTTTGGATTTATTAGTTTAATTTTTTTTAAAATTATTCAAAAAAGAAAAATGAAAAATGGAATCAAATTTTATAACCATTTTTGTAAACAGCCATTTTGAGCTATGTCCAGATTTAAAAGTTCATCGACGCTGTTCGTCGCAAATCAACACTTTGAAGCATAAAAGTTGACAAATGAAGTGCAAGAGATTACCGATATCGATTGAAATGCATTCGAAACAATCTGTCATCGATTCAAAGGAAGTTAAATTGCTGAATCGTTAAACTTTTATGTGACCCTTTATTTTTAAAATTCTCTATACTAAGGAAAAATAGGCATCCTAATTGCAATGAATATAAATTTCTTTTGAAGTTTTTATTTTCAGAAAAAGAGTTTTTTTTTATTTTTCGATATTTTATCAAGCACATTGTTTGTCTTAATTTTCTTCATTAACTAGATAAAAACTGCGGGGGAAATTGATTATTTTCACTATTTTAATAAAGAAAGTTTTATCCTAAGAGATATTATCACCTATTGCAGCAATAGACGAGAAATAAATGTATATATATATATATATATATATATATATATATATGGGTCATTC